CCGACCAGGGATTGAACCTGGGCCACCACAGTGAAAGCCTGGAATCCTAACCACTAGGCCACCAGGGAACTCCCAAAAGGCCTGTCTTAGGTTGAATTGTGTCCCCTCAAAAGATGTGTCCTGGGGACTTCCCTGGTGATCCAGTGGTTAAGACTTTGCACTTCCACTGCAGGGGCCACAGGTTCGATCCCTGGTCGGGGAACCAAGATCCCCCATGCCTCATGACGCCCCCCCACCCCCCCAAAAAAAATACGTCCACGTGCTCACCCCTGGAACCTGGGAATGTGACCTTACTTGGCAGGAGGGTCTCTGCAGGTGTAATTAAGGGTCCCAAGATGAGATTAATTCTAAATTAGGATGGGCTCTGAATCCAATGACAGGTATTATTCTAAGAGAAAGGAGAGAGGGATTTGAGACACAGACACAGAGGGGAAGGTCGTGTAGAGACAGAGGCGGAGATCGGAGTGAGGCAGCTGTGAGCCAAGGATGCCTGGAGCACCCCCCCCCCCCCCCCCCCCGCGAAGCCAGGAGGGGCCTGGGACGGATCATCCCTCAGAGCCTCTGGAAAGAACCAACCCTGTCCACACCTTGATTTTGGACTTCCACCTCTTGAACTGTGAGGGAGTGAATTCCTGTTGTTATAAGCCACCCAGTCTGTGGTAATTTGTTATGGTCGCCTCAGGACACTTGAGACAGGGCAGTTGTGATGCTTAAATGTGCTGAGACTTGAGAAGGGCTCTGTGGCCCATGGCGGGGGCTCAGGGGTGCCGTCTGCAACACTTGGGGTGGGAGGGTGGCTCAGAGGGTGCCTAAGGTCTATGCTGTGCTTCCTGGTCATCTGTCGTGTCCCCATTGGCCTCAACCCTGAAACACCTCTGACCCCTAGGGCGTGGCGCCACGTCGTTGGTTGGTTGGTTCACACGTGGGAGCAAGAGGATTTGAGAGTCACGAACTGGACTGTTTTGGAAAGATCTGGGGCTGCAGGATGCTGGTGGGAGGCAATGCCAGACATAAAGCAGCACTTCCTGAGGGTCCGGCGTGGCCCCATGCAGTGCTGGCACCAGACACATTGTGACCAGTAGACCGTGAATCTCGGGAGCCCGCCACCTGGCGGTTACAGGATGGGGATGGTGGACAGGGTTCATGGGCCAGGCATTTTGGATGGGGTAAACGTGGCTAGACAAACCAAGGGGCATATGGAAAACGCCTGGGTCAGTCAGTGGTGCTATCATTTTTCTTCCTTTTGACCCAGTAAAGGAAGAGGGTAGCTTTAGGGGAAGCTGGGCAGGGTGATTCCGGAACTCCCTGTGCCATCTTTGCAGTTTTTCTGTGAACCGAAAGCTTTATTAAAAACAACAACAGCAGGACTTCCCCGGTGGCGCAGTGGTTGAGAGTCCGCCTGCCGATGCAGGGGACGCGGGTTCGTGCCCCGGTCCGGGAGGATCCCACATGCTGCGGAGCAACTGGGCCCGTGAGCCATGGCCGCTGGGCCTGCGCGTCCGGAGCCTGTGCTCCGCAATGGGGAAAAAACAACAACAACAACAAAGCCAGAGGCCAGTGTGAAGGTGGCTTGGGGGGGCCTGCTCCTTGGGTGGGGTGTCAGGGAGGGCCCCCCCAGGGTGGGTGTGGAGGGGGAGCTGTCACAGGCTGAGGCCCTGGGGGGAGTCACAAACTCGGGGTGCTTTGGGGTCAGGTGGCCAGAGGAAATGAAGAGTGGGGAGAGCAGAAGGCAAGGAGGCCACCGTGAAAGCGTGGGTGATGGGGCACCTGCCTGCCCTCAGCATCTGGAGTGGGGTCCACTCTCACAGTTGGGGAGCCTGGACTTGGACCCCAGGCTGTCTGACCCACAGGCCAAAAGCAAGGGGGAGCCTGGGAGTCACGGCTCCTTTGAGCCGGTGGGCCTTGTCCAGGCTTCACTGCCCTGTCTGCGCCTGCCTCTGCCAAAACCCATGAGGACGGGGTGAGGGGAAGGGGTGGCCCAAGCCTCCTGAGGGCATCAGGAGTTACGTTGGTGTCCTGAAACGTTCTTATATGGCCTCCAAATGGGACTGTCGCCTGGCTGGTGACAGTCACCTCCTGAGAGCGGGAGCAGTGGCGTTCATTCATTGATCCATTCATTCACTCATGTATTCTGTGTTTCTTTGTTCCACCAGCAGGTGCTGCTGAGTCTTAGACCCTGGCTTGGATGCCGGGTTTATGGCGAGGTTGGGGGTAGAGTAGGGTAGGAAGTGCCATCGAGGGGGTACAGAGTGAGGACCACTGGGTGGAGGGATGCACGAGGGACTGTGGCTTGACAGCGGGAAGAGGCATGAACGTCAGCGTCAGGCGGCTTGTTAGACCCTGACTGGTGGTGTCCCTCTGCTCTCCTCCTTGTGGACCCTCTGAGGCATCAGGCCCATGGGTGGAGCCCAGGCTGGCACCTCCTCACCCCAGGACGACCTTACTCCTGGGGTTTCCTGGCCAGGCCTGGGATGGCAGTCAGCCCCTGCAAAAGTTAAGGGGCTCCCTGAGACCACCTTCGCATCTGACACCAACTGCAGAATTCGAGGGTTCCCAAGACTACATGCAGCTCGGCAGTTCACTGGAAGGACTCAGGAGTCACTGAGAACCATCATACGGTCACGGGGTCTGTTACAGTGAAAGGACACGGATCACAGCTGGCGTGGGGCGGCGGCCAGGAGACTTCCCAACACAGAGCTGCAGGTCGTCCCTTCCCGGGGAATCACATGGACAGTGCTTGCTTCTCCCAGCACCAGTGTGTGATGACATACATGGGGGCTGTCAACCAGGGATGTGCCCCAAGCCTTGGTATCCAGGGTTCTTATTGGGGTTCACCACGCAGACTCTGCTGACTGCTGTCTGCAGCTGCCGCAGAGGGTGAGCTGGTATTGCGTTGGCCTGAGACCTCCACCCGCAGTCACACTGTTGGCATAGATACCCAGCGTGGCCCGAGGACCTAGGCAAACAGAGACACTCTTTTATCAGGCAGGGCTTTCACTTCCCAGGAGCTGGGGGCAAAGGTCAAACTGCCCTGGGCCAGGTTAACTCTCCTGCACAGCCCCACATACAACCGAGGGTGAGCACAGGGGTCCCCCAAAGGACGAGTGGAGCCCCGTACTGTGTCCACTCCAGAGGCCACACCACAAAGCCTGACATTCCCAAAGCACAGTGGATGGGGGTTGGGAACCATCAAGGGAAAGAAAGGCTCCGCCAGAGGGCCACTGTTGCAGCAGCGCACAAGCCACGAGCAGCCTGTCCCCAGTCTGGGCTCCCTCTGGGCCGGAACGTGGCAGCTTTGCAGAGTACTTTCCTGAATGCTGCGGTTTCCAGAGCTGGCCTTTCAGCCTGGGACAGAAGCACGTGTGTTATAAGCACTTCCTGTATCTCACACAACCGGCGTTTGTGCACACACGCTCACCTGGACCACCCACTCTAGAGAGGGGGAAACTGAGGCCCAGAAGGGGGCTGTAGCTCCCCAGGGCCACATGGTACTCGAGAGGTGGTTCTTGAGAGGTGGATGTAAGGCTAGTTCCTGCCACGTGGCTCAGACACAAGAAGGGCCTGGGGAGGGGGGGGCGGGTCTCGGGCCCAAGGTAACCCGTGCCCATCGCCCATCCTACTTGGCCTATTTCATCTCGTGCAACCGCAGGGAGGGACACAGTGGGGTGTTCACGGTGAGCGTCTCCAGCCATTGGAGACAGAGCCTGGGCCGGACCCTACAGATGCCTGAGAACCACCCGCGGAGGAACGGAGCAAGGTCAATCTCCCTCCTGGCTCCACCGCAGCTCGCAGGAAACAGCTGTTTACCTGGGTGAGGTGCTCGGCCGGGCGAGCAGCCAGTTCCCGAGCTTCACTTCCCCCTCCGGTGTCGGAGGCCCCCCAGGAAGCCGGGACTGGCGTGGGAGAGCCGGGCGGTGTGGGCGGACAGCAAACGGAGTGCTGCCAGGAGCTGTTTGTGAGGGAACGTGAGCCGGTCTTGTTGTGTACACAGCGTCGACCCTAGCAACCGCCCCAGCCGGCTGGAGCGGACACCCACCTCTCCCCGGGTGCCCAGCTGCCACCCCTCCGTCACAGCACCTGCATCCCAGCCTGGGCAGACTGACGGGCTTTGGGGACCTGGCTGAGGGCCTAGGGCCACCGGTGGTGTCAACCAGGTCACGAGCATCTGCTATTCCTGGCAAAGTGGAATCGATGCTCCAGCGAGGAAAGGCCCGGTCCCAGCCCCGCACCAAGGCAGCCGTGGCTGGTCAGGGAGCCCCGGACTCCTGGTTCTGAGGCCTGGCCCAGCAGGACGAATCCCCACGCGAGTGATGGGCAGAGGACTGTGCAGGGATGCAGCCACCCCAGACGAAGGCTCTGTAATGCGTGAGGCTGGTGGGGCAGGCAGAAGGATCCTGGGGGCTTGGGCAGGACTCCTTAGAACTCAGGCGGGGTCTGGCAGACCCTCTCGCCCTGTATGTGCTGTCAGAGGGATTGTACATGCTGCACTTTGAAAGCCAGCACTGCACTTTTGAGCTGGCCTCTCTGATTCAGGCCAGTGGAAAGACAATTTCTCCTGTGTCCGGGCGTAAATTCGCAGCCTCTGGCCCGCACCCCAGGAACGCAGCCTTTGGCGTGATAAGAAATGGTTCCCCTGGGGGGGGTGAGGGGCCTCCTGCATAGGCTCTAGGCTCCAGGCCCACTTGATACTCTTGCTTATTCACAAATTGTCTGAATCAGCTGGCGACGCCCCCTCAAGTTCATGGAGGCAGCACCCCCAGGGCGAGTTTCCCTGCCTGGGGAGGGCCACCTGGGCGTCTCGGGTCTCTGATTCTGCTGGTTTTGGTGGAGAGAATCATGGCTCCTTTGAGAATCTGAGTCATGGGGGTGCCACACCCTCTGTGCCCGGTGCCACTGACTCCACTACTTGGGGCCCTCGGGAATGGTGCTCCGCAGGGTGTGCTCAGGAACCACACCCCCCCGCTCCCCCCACACTATAGCTGTCGGTTTCTCTCTTGCAGCTCCAACTCCAAAAGTCCCAGTACCTGCAGCTGGGCCCAAGCCGTGGCCAGTACTATGGCGGGTCCCTGCCCAACGTGAACCAGATTGGGAGCGGCACCGTGGATCTGCCCTTCCAGGTGAGCCCCCATTCCTCTCCCACACCACCTCCCACCTGGAGTGTGTTGCAGTCTGGGCCCTGGCCACAGAGCAAGAGAGCGTGCATGACAGCCTGTGAACAGCTGGGGTCACCAGACAATTGCCGCCGCCCACCCAGCCCCCGCCTACTCCTTCCCCTGGGATGGCCTGGCCAGGCCTCACCCGGATCCCCCCTGCCCATCCTCTGTCAGCAGAGCCCGCAGAGAGGCCGAGGTCTGGCTGTGAGTGTTTCGGCAGCCGCTACACCTGTTGGCCGGCTGTGCGGCAGCGGGAACTGCTCAGGGCCTCTGGGGCTTGGCTCCGTCCCGCTTCACTAATCCGCAAGCCCAGCAATTCTCAGAAGGAGGCCCCTCAGCCTGACCCCACTTGTCTGCAAACGTTTTCTGGCAGAGACCCACACAGCACGGCTCCCGCAGGCCGCATAGCTGCCGCGCACGTCCTTATCATAAATAAGAACAGATAAGGTCCACCGCCTGCCCGGTGCAGGGCCGGCCTCTTCTCCTGGGCCATGTCCCTCGACCCTGGTCTGCAGGTGGAAGTGGGGGCACGGTGGGCCCAGGAGCTGGGCCGATAGCTGGGCCCCCCGCCCCCCAGCACGGTATCTGGACTTCTGCAGGGACAGGTCCACCGAACAGCCACGCACTTGTCCCGTTGCTGGGACAGAGCCCCAGAAACAGCCACGTCCGTTAGCATGTTGACAGGCCAGGTGGAGCTGGGTCGCTCCCACAGGGAGCTCAGTCCCCACCCACCCCGCAGTCATTCCTCAGCTTGTACTCCTCCCACACTGCTGCTGGGATGTGTCAGGGCACCAGCCCAGGGTCCCGCAGGCTGGCTTGGGGTCCGGCTGGCTCAGCTCTGAATCCCCAGGGCCTCTTGGAGCACGGCCCTCCTCACATGGCCTCCACATCAGAGCAGATAGATGCATGGGGCTGTCATGCTGATCTTCACATGCTCCAAAAGCCTCACCTCTTTGTCAGGGCCCTTTCTAGTTTGGGTTTTCTCCTCTCCTCCCTGGCTCCCCTCTTCCTCTGTTTCCCCATCCCCTCCTCCGTCAAGGACAGTGTCTCTCTGGGCATCCCCAAACTTGGCCCTGCCTGAGGCCGCTGTAGAGCCCCTGAGGGCCGAGGGTGCATGGGGGCCTGTTGGGCTTCCCACTGGGGGGCCAGGCGAGGCAGGAGTGTCTCAAAGTCTTGGTTCTTTGCATTTTCAGCCCAGCGGATATCTGGGGGAGGCTCTGGCAGCGGCTCCTGTCTCTCTGGTAAATGAGCCCCTGGGCTGAGGCCTCGGCATCCCCGGCACGTGTGCGGGCGCTGGGTATTCCTGTGCGGCCGCCCCCGTGGCCCAGCGGGAGGTGTCCCATCTGCCAAACGGAAGCAGATTCGCTCTGCACCCCCTTGTCTGGGGAAGTGCATATGGTCGCGTCGAGAGACCCCTTCCCCGGGGGATCCTAGCATGCGTGCCAACGCTGCATGGTTCGTTCCTATGACACATGCACATGCGTGTGCGCGGATCCTAACTCGGCCTGGCGAGCTGGGCTGTGGCTGGGCCCGAGCTTCTCTGTGCCTCTGGCTCTGCTTCAGCCGCCTTGGTTTCCCCTCTGGGCTTCCAGGCATCTCTGGGAGGAGATGAACGGCCCCTGTCCTCTGGTGTCTGTGCCTGGACAGTGAGGTTCCTACCCTCCCTCGGTCACTGCTATCTCCCGGGCCCACAGCCTTTTGGAGGCAGAAGCACAGAAAGACCCAAGCTGGCAGCGTCCTTGCTGGGTCAGAGAAAGATGGGGTCCCCGGACGCCAGGGGTCCCCAAACACCAGGGAGAGCAGTCAGCCCTGAATGCTAGCCGAGGTTTTTGGACAGGTGGAGAAGAGCAATGAGCCAGCCAGTGGCATTCTTCCGGAGGAAATTGCTTTTTGCCTGGCTGCCCAGAGAAGACAGAAGGGCCCGAGGGCCAGATGGCCAGGTAGGAGGCTGGTAGCTGCCTCCAGAGCTAGCTAAGGCTGCCAGTCTCACCCCAGTCAGATGGTGAGGGGCCCATGGCACCAGGGCTGGTGGAGAGCAGGCTCCTGGGGACCTCAGGAGCATGGAGCCAGGAGCGGGAGCCGGGCGTGACCGGGGGGCCTCATGCCAGCCCCAGGTGCTGGAAGGGAGCCCCGTCCAGCCAAGCTGTGGGCCAGGGCTCCGGAAAGTGCCTGCACTTGGCTGCCGGTGGTGCTGGGACAAGGCTGTGGGGGAGAGTGCGTGGGGGCCGAGTCTCAATCAGGACCAGCCCCAGGCTCCACGAGGAGCCTCCAGGGAGCCAGCACTTGGCCAGGTGGGCCCCTGAAGTCCTGGGCTGGAAGCCCTGGGGCTGTCTCTTGGCAGGCCCCTCCAGGGATGACGTAGGTGGGGAGAGGAGGCCGGCCAGGCCCAGAGAGAGAGGGCGGAGGCCTGTCTGCACCTGGCGAGCCTGGGAGGGGGTGCTCGGGCCGTCTGCACCCCTGGCACCCTGGCCGGCTCCGGGCCCCGAGCTTGCGCCGCTCTGCCTGGCCCGTGCATGCCAGCTGCACTGCACGCCTGCCGCCCCGGCACCTGGAACCCCAGCGCGCCGCCACCCCTACAGTGCTCGGAGGCTGGGGGCAGGGGCCGAGGAGGAAAGGAAGCCCGTCTGGAGTAGCCGAGGGTGTCTCCAGAACTGGGCAGGGGGGTTGTAGAGGGACCCTGAGGCGAGATCCTGGGGGCAGAGCTGGGGTCAGATCTTGGACCACAGCTGGTAACCGTGGTTTGGGTTCCTCTCTCTTTTTTTCCATCTCTTCCTCTCCTCCCTCCCCACCCCCAGACACCCTTCCAGTCCTCAGGCCTGGACACCAGCCGAACTACCCGGCACCATGGGCTAGTGGACAGAGTGTACCGGGAGCGTGGCCGCCTTGGCTCCCCACATCGCCGGCCTCTGTCAGTGGACAAACATGGAAGGCAGATATCCTTTTCCCAGAGGATGGGGGGGGGGGGCACTTCATCCAGCTGGTGGACCTGCCTGCTGCCAGCTCTGTGATAGAATCAGGGCCGCTCCAGTCCTCCAGGGCTACCGGGCCCCACCAAGAGGGGGGTGCCATTGCATGGCAACCCTGGAAGACTTCCTGGAGGAGGCAGTGCAAGCTGAGGAGCCTTTAGCCAGGCGGGGGCTAAGGGAGCACAGGGAACAGTGACACAGAGTAGGCCACTGGAGCACACAGCCTGAGATGAGAGTTGGGAGGGTACGCTCAGATGCCTGACTGGGCAGTGGGGCCCAGGAAGGCTGTGAGCAGGGCACCCACACGTCAGGGCCATGGTGGTGGACCCCTCTGGGGGCCATATGGAGCCAAGGCAGTGGGGCCGAGGGAGATCTGAGCCAGACACAGACAGATCAGAGGGAGGCTTGATCTGAAGACACAAAATTTGCCTTTGCACCTCTGCCAAGCAGAGAGGTTGTGAGGAATCCCACCCCCACCACCGACTTGGCTGCCCCCTGGTACTTAACCAGCCAGGCTCCCCCGCCACTGCGGTCTGAGTGGCTGCTCCTGGGAACCCCGGCTCTCTAGAACAGAGAAGCCTGTTCTTTCCTGGTTCTCGTTTCCATGGGCTGGGGGAGCTTGAGCAGCTGGGCGCCAGACCAAGCCCTCGGGCCCTGGGAGTCACCCCGTCAGCCCAAAGTTAAGAGTCAAGACCAGGGTCAGCTGAACTAGACTCCCTGCAGCCCCCCCTACGGGCCCCCGTTTCATGGCTGAGGCCCCTCTTGGAAGGGGTGCAGCCTGCACGTGCGCTTGCAGGGGGTGAGTGCTGAGTGCTAGGTGGATGGGGCTGCACCCTGGGGGCTGCTCGCAGCCAGGCAGGAAAGGCCCCCGCCCCGAGGCCCCAGCTGTTTGCCGGCTCCCAGCAGCCTGGCTACTCGGGCTGGCCAGCGCAGGGTTCTTGGGGCTCAGGGCAGGGCCTCAGCTGACAGCACCATCCCCTTAACTTATACTCACGCGGACAGCTGCCCATATGGCACCGTGTACCTCTCGCCACCTGCGGACACCAGCTGGAGAAGGTCAGTGACCCAGAACCAACCCCCAGCCCTCTCATTGGAAACAAAACTATACTTTCATCGTGGCCGTGCTTGGAAAACCAATATGCAGTCACTTAAAAATGACAAAACTTAGAAGCATCCAGAAGTTTCTAGAAATCAGCTCTATCCCTGTAAACAATGAGGTCACAGTTTTGGGGTCTTCCAGGGAGTTTTTTTTCCCCTTTATTTGTGACTTTTTTTTTTCCTTTTCTTTTTTAAACAAAGTTGGGATTGTAGTGAATATTCATTGTTGTCGCTTGCTTTATTTAATGCTCTATTATGATTGTTTCCCACATTCCTGAAAAGCCATAGAAAATTTGATTGGAAAAGTATGATATATTTATTATTAGAAGATTAGGAAAATACATAAATGCATCTAGAAGATGAAAAAAAAGTCCATAATGCCGTCATCTAGGAAGATCTAAGATAACAACAATGATATAGTTAATATAAATCCCTACAATAACACAGATGATAGCTACACACCAGTGTGAATGTACTTAATGACACAGAAGTGTATACTGAAGAATGGTTAAAAAGGCACGTTTTATATTTATTTTAGCACACATATACAAAAAAACATATGTAGGTGACTTCAGTAAACAAAGACCCAAAGTAAACAAGCTGTTAAAAAAAAAACACAGCACAAAATATATCATTCAATTAGGGACTTCCGTAATTAGGGACTTCCCTGGTGGCGCAGTGGTTGAGAATCCGCCTGCCAATGTAGGGGACACGGGTTTGATCCCTGGTCCGGGAAGATCCCACATGCCACGGAGCATCTAAGCCCGTGAGCCAGAACTATTGAGCCTGCGCTCTAGAGCCCGTCAGCCACAGCTACTGAGGCCGCGTGCCACAACTACTGAAGCCCGCGCGCCTAGAGCCCAAGCTCTGCAACAAGAGAAGCCACCGCAGTGAGAAGCCCACGCACCGCAATGAAGAGTAGCCCGCGCTCGCCACAACTAGAGAAAGCCCACGCGCAGCAACTAAGACCCAACAACGAAGACCCAATGCAGCCAAAAATAAATAAATAAATAAATAAATTTTAAAAATAACATAATTAAATGCCCACCAAGCACGTGTTCATATACCAGGTCCTATTTCAACCATCACATACATTAACTGATGTAAGACGCACAGAGCTCTGTGGAGTTGGTGCTGTTATCCTCCCCATTTTAGGCATAAGAAAGCGCGCAGAGAGGTCAGAACACTTGCTCAGGGACAGACAGCTGGTGGGGAGCCAGGATCCCCCTGGCTCCTCACAGCTCAGCTGGCCCCTGGGTCAGAGGCAGCCCGGTCCTCTGTAACCTGCTGTTGTCCTTGAACCAAGTTTCCTCCACGTCACTCTCAGTGTCTGGGACATCCCCGTTGGGGGTGTGTGGCTGTTTCCCCGAATTGGCTGTGCAGCTGGACCTGCCCTTTGCGTGTCTGCCCAGCTCCCCGTGGCTGCCCCTGGTTTCCTAGGCAGCTGAGGGGTTTTTCTGAGGACCCTCCCTCCAGGCACCTGCAGCTGGGGGCAGATTGTGTTATTGGGGCAGAGAGTGGGGCCTCTCCCAGACTCCTGGGAGCACTGGGCTGGTTGGAGCAAGACCCCCCCCCCCCTTGGCCATGGGTCACCAGTAGGGGACTCCATGATGGGTTCATACTCCCAAGGCTGGGCCACTGTGGGACTGTCAGGCCCTCTCTCTTCAGGGTTTCAACAGGAAAGCACTACCTTTTCCCTAAAGCCGCGAAGGCCATCGAAGGGGCAGGGATGGGCAGGGGCTGGTTAGGAACGAAGGGACAGCTCTGCTGCAGCCTTTGCAGACGAAAACCAAAATCACTGTTGTGGTTCTTCAGGGTTTTTGCTCAGGTATGCAGCTCACAAAAATGACCCATGACTGCCACCCTGTTCCATCGGGTGGGTCCCAGATAGAGTGGAACCAGGACTGTCCCTTCGTCCCCTTTGGGGCCAAGGCTCACTGTCTCTCTCCTCTCCGCAGGACCAATTCTGACTCTGCCCTTCACCAGAGCACAATGACGCCAACCCAGCCAGAGCCTTTTACGGGTGGGTCCCAGGACGTGCACCAGAAAAAAGGTATCAACGGGGCCCATGGGTGTCTTTCCTGGGGTCAGGCAAGTCCAGTGGCTGACCGCTGTGCTCCCAGAGGTCACAAATATGTAGGTGGACAGACCTGAGAAGGAAGACTCAGCAGGTGCTGTGGGACAAGGGGAGGGGTTCAGGGAAACTTTGAGATGGCGCTATTTGAGTTGGATTTTGAGGAGTGAGTAGGAGTTTTCTAGGCAGAGAAAACAGTCCCTGCAAACTCAGATAGGTTTCTGATTATGGATTCAGGGTATGGCCGTGCAGTCTGGGGGCCTTGCAGATTCTTTCAAATGTTGGGAGCAGCAAGCCCGGGGAAAAGGGGCATTTATCAGCTCGTGACCAACAGTCGGAGCTAGATGTTCAGCTTCAGGTATCGTTTGATCCAGGGCTTCACACTGGATCATTTCCCGGCTCTGATGCTCAGAACCTCTTGGTCCACAGGGTCTGTCCTGGCAACAGTGTGTGGAAAAGAGGCTAACTGTTCCCTAACTCTTGTCCAGAGCTTCCTTTCCAACTGGGTCATGCACACACCCCTGCAGCTGGGGCAGATCTGTGCCCAGGCCTCGGTTCCTCCTTGGAGCCAGGTATGGAGGCAGCATCCCTGGGACCTTCCAGGAAGGTACATGGCATCTTAAAAACTGGGGCAGTGTCACCCAGAGAGGGGAGTGTGATGCTATGAGGCCAGCCCTAGAAGCCCATGTGGGCCTGATCTGCTCCAGGACACTGAAACCAGACAGTTAATCATTTACACTGCAGGTCCAAACGTTTACCACTTCTTTGGTAGCATTTCACTGTGTGAGTATGTAAACATACCGGGGAGATTTTGCTGATAGAAGAAGGATGGTCAACCAGAACTTCACCCCTTGGTGGGCAGGGGCTCTCCTCATGTGATCTTTCCAGCTCATTGGGCATCAAAGGCGAGATTGCAGAAGGGAATGTCTCCATAATAAAAGCGAGGATTCCAAATGCCTAGGGGTGACGAGAATGGACCTGGCACTTCCCTCCTGTTCCTGATGCTGGGGGCAATTCAGAGGGCGCTGTCTATCCTGAGGGAGGTCCGCCAGGAACTTGGGGCTTTGGGGGTGGGTGAGTGGGCTTCGCCCTCCCCAGGGACTCTTTGTGACCGTGGAAGGACCCCTGGTAGCTCAGAGTCCAGTTGACCTTGGTGGGGGTGGGGGGGTGGGACACATCACCTCTCCCCGTTGCTCTAGGAAGGGCCCAGGCAGTAACGAAGTCTGGTGTTAGCCTGGCTGTCCTCCCATCCCCCAGTCCAGGTTTCTAGAAGGAGGAATTAACCTCCTCCTTCTAATTATGTTCATAGTGGCGCTATTGCAGCACTGAACCTCCAACAGGCATCAGGAAATTGGATCTCATAAAGAAAGTGTTGAATCTCACGTTAACTGAAAGTTTTAAGGAAAGGGGCCTTCAGGCACAGCTGGTTCCAGGGCCTCGACCGATGCCCATCCAGTCCCTTAGACCTTCTCTCTCCTCCTTTCCTCCTCCGGGACTGGTTGGCATTGCAGCTAACTCACAGAGCCGTAGCTACCATGGTTGGATCGACCTCAGACTACATTGAGCTACGTGGCTTGGTGCCAAAAGCCCAAGAAGGGCCCGGCCCCTGGGTGCTGACAGCCCAGAGGGGGAGGCAGGTGTCCACATGGCTGTAGGTGGGGTGCACGGGGTGAGGCGACCAGTCGTGGGAGATGGGGAGAGATTCTCGGCTGTCCTCTGCAGCCCGAGGCCTGAGTGGGTCCTGTGAGAGGCAGAGTTGACACCCGTCCTTAGCTCCAGAGCTTTCATTTTCATTTCTTTATAAGTCACAAGTTCTCTGACTTCTTTTTTTTAACTTTTCTTTTTCTTTCTTTCTTTCTTTTTTTTTTTTTTAACGAAACTCTTTTTTACTTTAGTACAATCCCCAGAAGTTACTGTTGGGGTAGTTTCATTCATATCACGGTCGTGACTCTGTATGTCAGGGAAGTGCCCTCCTGGTGCCACCACACAGCTGCAAAGATTCCTTTTCTGCTTCTCCTTCTTCTCCAACCCCACCCCCCCCCCCCAGTCTTACTATTAACAGTCCCTGGAATGGAGGAGACCACATCAGAGATGGACAAGAACCTTTCCAAGCAGGCATGGGACACCAAGAAGGTAAGAGCCTAAGGGTTTTCGGAAGTGGTTTTCCTTCTTGATCTTTTTTTTTTTTTTTTTTCACATCCCTTGTGAAGATGGTGGAATAGCACCTTGGGGGAGTGTCGCCTTCCCTGAAGTGTGAACCTCATTCAATGTTTTTTTTTGGCTGTGCTGCACAGCATGCGGGATCTTAGTTCCCCAACCAGGGATTGAACCGGGGCCCTTGGCAGTGAGTACTCGGAGTCCTAACCACTGGACCACCAGGGAATTGCCTAAACCTCGTTCAGTTTTGACCAGTTGCATAAGCCTTGAATACTAATGGCAGGCCTGTTACACTGGTGAAAACCATGTAAAGAATTAAAGTCTATGTTCACTTTGGCAGCATGTATACTAAAATTGGAACAGTGCAGGGAAGATTAACGTGGCCCCTGTACAAGGAGGATGTGCAGATTCACACAGCGTTCCATATTTTTATGTGCGGTGATAGATGTTAACTGTTAACTAGACTTATTGTGATCACTGCAGCATATACAAATATCGGATTATTATGTTGTACACCTGAAACTAATATAATATTATATGCGAATTATACCTCAATGAAAAAAGAAAGAAAGAAATTGAAGCCAGGGAAGTTAAGTGATTTGCCCAAGGCTGTGAAGATACTTAGGGTTTAGAACGTATACCTCCTAATTTTTAGCCTGTGATCGTTCTACTAACCCACAGTATTGGGTAATTATCATCGTTTATCATCATTCTTTTTTTTTTTTTTTTCTGTTGCACCGTACAGCACGCGGGATCTTAGTTCCCCAACCAGGGATTGAAATTGTGCCCCCTGCAGTAGAAGCACGGAATCCTAACCACTGGACCTCCAGGGAATTCCCTGTCCTCATTCTTAAACGTAAACTTCCATTCACTTGCACAATAATTGCAGCTTTTATTAGAGTACAGAGTCTGCTTGGAATTCCCAATTGGATTGGGATTTCTGTGTTATTTCAAGGTCCAGAAACAAATTTCTCAAGTTCAGCCTACAAAAATGTCTAGTGATAAGATAGAATTTGTGCCATGAATACAGATTTCAACGAATTTTTTTTTAAATTAATTTATTTGTTTTTGCTGTGTTGGGTCTTCATTTCTGTGGGAGGGCTTTCTCTAGTTGTGGCAAGCGGGGGCCACTCTTCATCACGATGCGTGGGCCTCTCACTATCGCGGCCTCTCTTGTTGTGGAGCACAGGCTCCAGACGCGCAGGCTCAGTAGTTGTGGCTCACGGGCCCAGTTGCTCTGCGGCATGTGGGATCTTCCCAGACCAGGGCTCGAACCCGTGTCCCCTGCATTAGCAGGTAGATTCTCAACCACTGTGCCACCAGGGAAGCCCCCAATGAATTTGAATAGAACAAAAATGCACTAACACTAAAGCAATTTTGAATGTTTTTTTTTTTAAATTGAAACCCTGTCAGGAACTCGGAGGGAGATGATGAACGAGCAGACAGCACTATGTTTCTCAAAGGCATGTGTTCAGAACGTTTGAAATCAACAGGAAACAACCTGAGTGTTCGACAGTAGGGGATTTATAAGGAAACTGTCCTTAGTCCCTCGTGTGGAAAGCTCTGTGTGTATGAATTGGGATCTTTGAAGGAATTTTAAAGGCATGAGAGACTTGTGATAAAACTGGTGTGTGGAAAGAGCAGGATAAAGCTGTTTAGAAAGGCACAAGACACGTAAAGATGCCAACAGATCCCTGGGTGTGCAGGACCAGGCCCTGGGGGAGACCCGAGTGCAGGTGTGAGCAGCACTGTTGGCCTTTTCTTTTTAATTATTTTTTTTGCGGTACGCGGGCCTCTCACTGTTGCGGCCTCTCCCATTGCGGAGCAAGGGCTCCAGACGCGCAGGCTCAGCGGCCATGGCCCACGGGCCCAGCCGCTCCACGGCATGTGGGATCTTCCCAGACCGGGGCACGAACCCGTATCCCCTGCATCGGCAGGCGGACTCTCAACTGCTGCGCCACCAGGGAAGCCCTGGCCTTTTAATCCCCGTCTGCATGTTCCAGTTTTGCACAAGGAACGCATATGATTTTCAAACTTGGGGGGAGAAACTTAAAAATTCTAAGAACCCAAACAAAGTCAAAAAGTAACTGAAACGTCTAGTTGCAGAGAGGTGCGTCAGTAAGGACAACAGGGTCCCTACACATGCCCAAATGTGGTGCTGCCATAAAGAAAGTGAAGATGGCGAGCGTCGTGACTCTGGGGAGGGGGACGGCCCCAGCATCCTGGGAGTGAGAAGATGGTGGCAGAGCCCAGCATCTTGGCGAGACTTCCTTTAACTGCCGCTCAAAACGATGCATCTGTGAGGATGTCAGTAAAGGAATTCCTGTGGATTTGTTGGGGGTGGGGCGGGGGGTGATGGGTGAATTTTTAATACTGTTTAGAAATCTGTTAGGATCCCATAACATTCGTGGAATGCTTTTGAAAAGATTCTTTAGAAAAAGTCATTGTCAAAGTGCTTTGTAAAAAATCTGGTAATGAAGCGAGTGTTTACCCACGGAATTAAGGAGCCTGTGGCCAAGTAGAAACCCGTTCCTCCGGCATTCCCTGCAGGGGCTAAATGCCTGCTGGTCACATGCCAGTCGGGCCTCCCCCACCCCACCGCACTGGGTGTGTGCATGGGAGGCAGGCCT